GGGGGGGGAGAGAGAGAGAGAGAGAGATCATAAATTTTCATAGATCCTTAAAAGGACAAAAAACTCCCCAAATGGTTGTGAAACACTGCCATATTAAATAGGGAACTGTTTTCGAAAAGGTAGTGAAATAACAGAAATGTACTTTAGGAAAATTATAGAAACATTAATTAGAAATAGTGCCTCTCAAATGATATGCCATGACCCACCTGCATCACAATCATCTGAGACTCTTGTTTTAAATTCATATTCTTGGGTCCCAAACCAGACTAGTGAATGAGAATCTCTACATATTGGACCCACATTGAATTTTAAGAAGTTTTGCAGAGGTTTCTTATCAAAACTGCAGTTTAAAAACCTTAGAATTATTGGATGGGTCAGAGGATGGAAAGTCTAAAGTCTAGGAAACAAAAAGACGACTACAAGAGGCTATTTGAAATAATCTGAGCTAATTACTGGTACACTCATAATCTGAATGTGATCTTTATATAACTATTGATAACTAGGTTGTTTACAGGGTCAAGGCTATTTCACGTGAAGTATTCAGGTCCCCCCAGGGACACCTGCACTAGTATATACAATAAAAGATGCTAAGAAAGCACAATTTGGGGCTATGTCTGACTTTAGCTATAAACTACAGGGATACTGGGAATGGAACCCATAGGCATTGAGCCACATACCCGGACCTTTTTAAAAATATGGACTTTTGGGGCTGGGGTTGTGGCTCATTGGTAGAGTGCTCACCTAGCACGTTCAAGGCCCTGGGTTTGATCCTTAGCACCACGTAAAAATAAATAAATAAAATAAAGGTATTGTGATCAATTACAACCAAAAGAAACTTTTTTTAAAATATTGACTTTTGAGACAGGGTCCTTGCTAAGTTGCTGAGGATCCTTGCTAAGTTGCTGAGGCTGACCTGGAAACTTGCAGTTCTCCTGCCTCAGCCTCCCTAATCACTGGGATTTCATGCGTGAGCCACTAGGTATGGCCAGATAATTCTGTTTGTACCTTTGGAGGAGTTTTAATTCTAGGTAAAAGCTTGGGGCAAATGAGAATATTTTGTTCTATTTACATCTAGAGGAGAAAAAGGACAAAAGGTAAATTAGTTAAAGATATTTAACATACAGTTAATTAAATCTTGCTCTCATGATATGAGATTCAAAAGAGCAAAAGAGTAAATAATGTCTCCTTCATCCTATTTTTCCCCAGACACCTATTTTTTTTTTCCCCTCTCCAGAGGCAAACACTGTTCTAACTTTCTCATGCATCCTTTTGGAAAGTCTATATACATATGAGCATATATAGATATTTATGCATACGCAGATTTACAGGAATTCCTCATTTGGGTAGCTTGCTGGGAGTTATTGGAGGCCCAAGACTGCTGGATTTGGGATAGTTTCTAGCATCTTCTGAGTCTCTGATGAACTTCCATGGTAGACAACAGTTCACAACTTTTGTCACTTTGATGCTGGAGTAGTTACGCATTTGTGTTACTCCATGGGTCTCTTGCAAACTTCATTTTATGTGACTTTCTTCTTTGCTGATTTTCTTTGTATCCTTCTGGTATATTAAATCTTAGCTATAAATACAACTAAGTCCTGTGAGTTCATCTAGTGCATCACTAAATCTGAGAATGATTTGGGGACGCCCAATATAGGTAGATCATGTGTTTCCGTCTGTATTACAGACTATATTCTCATGCCATGGGAACGACATGCTGGTTAAATGTCCTTGTGGGTTAAAAGATGATCAGATTCAGAGAAATCATTTGTATTAAGAGCACTTTATTGGTTTTATCTATCAGTCTTAGCCCTTTACTAACATTATTCTGTACCTCATCAATTTAAAAAGATGTTTTTGTGCCTGGGTGTGTGGTGGTGCACATCTTTAATCCCAGATACTCAGGAGGCTGAGGCAGAATTGCAAGTTTGAGGCTAGCCTCAGCAATTTAAAGAGACCCTCTCAAAACAAAAATTTTTAAAAGGGGCCAGGATATAGCTCAGTGGTAGAGTGTCTCTGGGTTCAATCTCCTGTATCAGAAAAGAAAGGAAAAAAATATTTTGTGTACTTTCATCATGACTGTTTACCCTGAAGAGAAGGTGGCAACTGATATGTAACCTTCCAAGGCATTATAATTTCTTCTCCAACAATCTTATCTGGGCTAGAGCCATGTGATGCTCAAATTGTCATTCAATTCATCATCTTTTGGGGAGGATTTCAACTTTCCTACTTTATTTTTTAAATTAATTAATTAACTTCTTTTAATTAGGTATATATGACAGCAGAATGCAGTTTGATTCTTTGCACACAATTGCCACACAACTTTGATTTCTCTGTTTCTCAAGCAGCCTTAAGAATTACTAATTTCTTCCTGTTTTTTCTACTCTTCCAATTTTCTTTTTTTCCCTGTACATTTCTCAATGTTACCAATTGTTGATTTTTTTTCCACTTCTGCTATTTTCTTTCTTATTTCCTAAGCATTCTTATTTCCCCCATTGCATCCTGTTGTGGCTTCATCTTCTGCCTTTCTTTGGATATTATGAATTTTTAAAGTGTTCTCGCTGCAATTTCTGGAGTTTTTATTTAAA